GGAAATGTTTCATTGAAAATCTTTTCTTATTCAGCCATCAACATCTATTCTTCCTCTTCGTCTTCTTTTGGATTCATTTTTCTCTTCTTTCCATATCCATCATGAAAATCCATTTCACAATTGACTTTAATCTTGTTTATCATTCAAAGTTGAAACTCTGATTTCCATTTTATTTCATCCCATTGAATTGATCAGAAAAAACCAAATACTTACTTAAATCAAAATTTTGCTTTTTCCTCTGCTTTAAGGTTATTGTTTAACTTGAAATTGGAAGCCAAAAAAACCGAGTAAACTTTACTCTTTATTTTACTCTTGGAGTGGAAACAAAAGTGACCAAAGTGGATGATAGGAATGAGAGGCAATCTGATTACAATTGGATTGCTATTGATTCTTGTTTTTATAAATGGAGAGTAAAATCAATTGTCACCAGGCTGAAACTTTGATTACAAGACCAACAAGAGGTAACAACTGCCAATACTGTTAACAGTAATGTTACAACATTGATTTTGGATTCTTGTTTTCATCTTTTCATGATCATGATGGAGATGGAGATGATAATACTAATATGATCACTTATCCTTTTCCTCTCCAAGTTTATTATTTTCTGATTGTTCCAATCAAATCTATTTTTCATCATGATTCCCTTTTTTTCTTCTGCATCATTTACGTTGACATTTTTACCTTGCATCTCTCATAAGTTTCATATGCTTAACATTAGCTAACTTTGAATCAGCTTTTGTTTTTCGCTCGCTTTTTCTTTCTCCCCCCTCTCCCCTTTTTTTACATCCATTTTGATTTGTCAAGGAAACAAAGCAGTAAAACTAACATTTTGATGGTCAACGGTTTTTTTATTTCACTCAATAATCCGTAAAGAAGCTTACTTTACTTGAAAAGCTGTATACTTTATCCTTATGTTGTTTAGTGTTTTTTTAATATTATTGAATACTGTTGCTACATGTTCCAGTTAAAAGCTTCAAAAAAATCTGTGTCTTCAAGGAATCATGTTGAGTTTGTTTTTTGCTTACCTCGATTTTGGAACTGTGAAAATAGACTCAAGCCAATGGTTTAAATGTCACCGAGGTTTATCCCTTTTTTTACCGTCATCATCATCATCTTCTTCTTGTTTACTTCATCTTTATCTTCCCTATCATCTTCATCGTCTCTCTATTGATGGTTAAAGTGAAATAAAAATCGTAATAAGCTGGTGAGAAGAAAGAGAAAAATACTTGAAAATAAATTGATAAATGGACGTAGATATTATACTGAACCAGATGAACTTTCATAAGTAATTTATATGTTTTGAAATGGCAAACCATAAAAGTGTTCAATATATATTAATAACTGTAAACCTCGAAGTTACGAGATGTTCAAACGCTCTTTTGAACAATCAGACGATAAGAAGGAGACAAACAATAACAGAGAGGCAAACAAATAATTGACCTAAATGCGGGTTACCATGGGAAAGGTTTTCCATCTTGTTCATGCTGGTCATTATTGTTAAAGACAGAGATACCGAGAGAGGAGAGATTCTGATAAAAGCTGAGGAGCCAGATGAACAGCAAAAGGAGTAAATGGATAGACACAGAGGCAAATGAATGCCAGTGAAATAAATAAACAGATATGAAGGAAAACTCATTTCCAAATTTTCAATCATTCAAGCCTTGGCTGGCCTTATTTTTTTCCCTGGCCAAACAAATCCAATGTTTTACCATCATCATCATCGTACAGACAAGTTGTACACTGAATTTTTCTAGAGCAAATACAATATAAAGAAGGAAATGTAAATATAGAGACAAGAAGTGTAACTCATGTTAATTTGGTTACAGACATGGAAGAAAACTGATGAAACTCTGGTGGACTATTAAATGTTGACTCTTTTGGTTATGAATCAACATTGACCATTCTAACATGGACTTGTACATGACCTGTTCCTTTTTGACCTTTATATAAGGTTATGGTCACGTAATTGGGACAATTAATCAGCTTGCTAGAAAATGATTATCATCATCATTATTCACTTTCACCTAGTTTTTTTTGCACCTCATGTGGACAACTCTTCACTCTATCCATCCCTTTGCCTCTCTCCGTGATTAACATTAGAACTCTGAGTTGTTTTTTGGACCTTTTTTTATGTCTTTCTAAATGATCATCAGCATTATTATGAGCAAGTAATGATGGGGTCTCACTCGGTAAGTCATTAGACTAATCACCATCACCCAGGAATTAATCAGCTTATTCATCATTCATCAAAGTTCTTTAACGTGAATCAAACAATTGATTTCATATTGACGCCTGATCACGGTTTAATGATGTTCACCAATACAAGAAATAAAAAATAGCAACACAAAAGCAAATCAGATCAAGCAGATTTGATGGAAGACTTTTTTTCATCCATTGCATGGTGAAAAAGCGGAGATTTTTTTCTTTATCTTCACTTAATTTTGCTTCTTTTTGGCCAATTTTTTCATTCCAAAAAAAGATCGCACTGAATAACAGGGAAACTTTCAGGAGAAAAAAAACAATGGATTCAATGGATGTTGCATTACTCTTTGGTCGAATGATGATGATCTGTTTTTTTCCCTGTCAGTTGCTTTTTTATATCTTTTTGTTTACAATTTTACTTATTATTACCATCACCATGTAACCATTTTTACAAAAGCTGACTGATTTTCGGTGAAAATTGTATTGATCTTGGTTATTGGTAAAGATTGATTTTCTTAAATTAACCGCCATTCTTCAATATGACGACATATTTACGCGCAAACATGTGTTTCTCCTCATTGTTCAATCCACAATATTGATACAAGTCAAAGCAAAATCTTCATCTCGTCAATTAGTCAAGTTATTGTGGATAAATGTTATATTAATCATCTTTTCATCATCTTTCTGCTTACCATCATCTAAATAGCTGTCATCGTCGTTAACATCACCAACTGGAACCTAAAAATCATTGGAAGTTACTTGCTGTTGCTGTCATTGCAGAATTTTAATTTCAACCTATTTTTTATATTGTAATACAATAAGTTGACATATAAATATTCACATACGCATTTGTGTTAATAAAGAGTTGTACCAGAATAGAGAATTGTCCTGAATTTTTCTCTCCCTTTACCTTGTACCATGTTATTCAAAGAGTCTAGCGATACATGGTGAAGTAATAACATGGATATTTTCCGTTCTCATTTCTGTTATTTCCTCTGCTTTCCTCCAACTTCTCACCATTATTTTCATTATCATCATTTCTTTTTCCCCATGAAAGGTTTGCTGTAGTGTAAATTTAATTATGTTTCCATGTAAATAGTTTGGAAAAAAATTCATCAACAAAAGATTATGTCTACGGTGTATGAACTCATCTTCAACTTCAACTTCCCTTTCAACCTTGTCTCGATCTGTGTGCTTGTAATAATTAAAAAAATACATGTTATTGATAAATAAACAAGCTTTTTATTGAAATATTTCAACTTTAACAAGTGAAATGATAAAACATTGCTGATTGACTTGAAAGTTGTAGGTTTAATGATATGCCATGTAATATTTGGATGCTAATAGAAGGACCATTTCATCAAATTTGATTGAAAATTTGAGGCGTGTTCAGAATCAAAACTCAAAAATAAAGAACTCAAGAATTGAGATAAAAAATTGATGAGTCTTCAATCAAATTATTTGATTATTTTTGATTAATTTGTATCTTTCCTTAAACAGGGAACAAGTCGTAAGAATTGTAATTTTCATCCCTTCTCAGTTTCCACCAGAATGTTGTTGATGTCCGCTTTATCATCTCATCGATTGCAGTAGCATCTTTTCATCTGATCATCATCATCAAAAGTCAAATCATGTCAAATACACAAAAAATAGCTCTAATTTTGTTCCTTCAATGTTAACTTGCAATACTCTTCTATGGTTAGAAATCATCTTTTCACATTGATGATCAAATTGACAAATTATCCTCTAAGTGAGAAAGTAAAAGCAGATGGGTGGAGAGGGATGAAGATGGAAGGAGGAAAAATGCAAAAATCGATTTTCACTTGAATTTTGATGATGATGATACTTAAGACCATAATTTATTTTTCTTCTCCTTCTTCTTCCCTTTCCAGTCTCAATGTAATACTATCTTAGAATCTTTAAGATGATCAAGATTATTATTTCTCACTCCAATATCATCACTTTCATCATTTTCATCTGATCTTTTGATTATTAACCATTGTTTAGCATTAAACCGGCTTCTAGCTTTTTTTTACTTCTCCTCCGTTTTATTCCTGAAAAATAACTCCTTTTGTGTTCACCATCATCATCGTCATTTTTATAAGCAATTGACTTTCACTCCTTCTTTCTCCTTCTTTTCATCATTATCATCATCACTTCTATCAACTCCCTATCCAAGATGTGGAGTAATTTTTTTCTTAAATCATCAAAGAACCTATTATATTATTATTACTTTTTTTTCTCACAAGTTGCTGGGTAAGAGCAACCAAATCCTTGTTTTATTTGTTATAGCACAACAATCAACGGTAGTTTTATTATAACTGGTTAATTCACTTTGTTGCTTTTGATTGTTGCGTGTGTTCATTACTATTGTTACATTGTTTAACCTTTTTTTTCGCATTTTTTTTCTCTTAGAAGCAACTTTTAACAATCGTTCAAGCTGGACTTCATTGGACACTGGTGAGTGATATTCATCGAAATGTCTGATGATCGTCGAAAATCTCGTCGTTCATTTAAAGCATCAAAGGACATCATAAATCAGGCCCGAAAAACTAGTGAATTAACAAATGACTTAGCCAAAATGATTACCAAACCCAAACCTAAGAAAGTTTCAGCTCAGGCCAAGGAAACTGCCGCCGTTACTGTAGAAAAAGAAAAAGAAGTTCGTGAGAAGCTGAAAAAGAAATGAATTGTGATTTTTTTTCGCCATTTTTCTTCTTCTGCTAATCCATTATTTTGGTTTCTCCTTTTGTATTGTATTTCCACTTTCCATGTTGGATTAAATGAACTTCAAAAAATCAAGTTTGCAATCCCATCAATGATTATTTTGTTATATTACAACACATTTATTATCATCTATTAAAAAGAAATAATCAACAGGCTATATTTAAAATAAGTTGTTTTGATAATTTGGATTTGTTTATCTCTGTAACTCTGCGCCCAATCTTGATAACTGCTCAATGAACTGATCTGCATTGACTAAATCTGTACATCCGTAAATCACTCTTTTTGGATTAGGCTTTCCGGTTTTACTTTGCTGTTAAAGGAAGAAAAGTGAAAATTGATGGCGGAAAATACTTTAATTAGTGACTGATTAAAAAATCATTAAGAAGTTATTTCGCCCTTTCAACAGGCAATAAATTTTCTTGAGAATAATTATTTACTTACTTTACAATATTCCACTAAATTCTGGTATTCAATGTAGTTTCCGCCTCCAACAACAAAAACAATTGCCTGTGAAGATGAAGAAAGAAAAACAATTAGAAATTGAGATAATTCAAGAAATAAATGGTAAATTTACATCTTGGAAGGATGTTCGTGGTTCAGGAGTACGATTCTCGGTCGCCTTTGACAACTTAGGATCAAAATATCGATAATCTTCAATTTCTTGAAGATTTTTCATTTCCATGAAAGCAGAAACAATCCTGGTTATTGGAAGAAAATGTTTTTTAAGAACTAAATTTTTCACTCCTTCCATCACAAATTGAGATCCTTGAGTCATTAACTTGGAAAACATATTAACTGTTTTGGTTCCTCCACCGTATTGACAATTAGCCAAAGCAGGCATTCGAGAAAAGGTTTTCCATCTTCTGAGGTAGCGGAAAGCATTCAAATCACAACCAGCTTCTTCTAATGTTTTCTCATATTCATTGATCTCATCATCTGACAATGAAGAGCACAAAAAGTTGATAAGACATAATCTCACTTTGTCAGTTTCAGAGCCAGTTTCACTGTCTTTAATTATATCCAATGGAGTTTTGTCTAGAATCGATTTGGATAATATTTTCTCTTCTAATTCGAAAAAATTGTCCAACTTGCGTTTCTTAATTTGATCTAAAATAGCTGTCGCAATTGTTGTGTGCATATCAATCAAAGATTTCTTTTTTAATAATTCTGGCAAAGATTGAACAGCAGAAGTTAATTTGGCTGTGTTGTTGGACAATAAGTCCATCGAATTTTCAGAATCCATGTTATTTCTCAATCGTTTAACTTCTTCTTCAGAATTTTTATATGCTTCAAGCTCTTCTTGGACTGATTTGGCCACCTGTGGAAATGGAGTCGTTTTATGCTTTTGCCAGAATTCATCATCACAATTCAGATCAAAAGTTTGAGACTTTTTTCGTGCGTGCTCATCAACCTCATTAATTGTCACTCTATTTAATTTAAATTGTAGGACATCATGAATTAAAGCCTGGTAAGTCCAAGTATGATGTAAAGGTGTAGCCATGTCCATGTTCCGATCGAGTATGATCAATAATGGTCGCTGGAAGGTTAATGGACGCTGTTCACTCAGATCAGCGAAACTATTTCCTTTAAAAAGATTATTTTTAACATCTTGAAGATTTTCTCGTAATCGTTTGTTGAGTTTTTCAGCCACCATTTCTGCTGCATTACCTTTAGGACATCGAATAATTGGAACAACTTCAAGAGTTGCTAGAAGAGCAAATAGTCCATCACATATTTTAGTCATAACTTCCTCCATCTCTGATTCTTGGACATCAGCCCGATTGATAGCTGAAAATAAAAAAGTGAAAATTTATAGAACAAGCAATTTCTTCAAAAAGTAGGACAACGAGTTGAAATTAAATCCATGAATCATTATGTTTCAAATACCACCGACTTCTGTAAATTTGGTATAACAAGATTTGAATAAAATTTAATTATTATTTACTGTAGCTCCAACTCACCATAATATGACACTTCCTCTTTATTATGTTGTCTTAAAATGAACATATCATCTTCAAGGCTGATAAAATCAAGATACTGATCCATAACTTTCTTAATAACTTTGGTCGCATCGGCTTCTAAGCAAGCTAATGCTAAATCTTCTATCTTATGATGAGAAACCGGCGTAATGAAATTTAGATAATAATGATCATACAAATGATTCCGTAGATCTGAGCAAATTCTGGTTATATTTTCATCAGTGGGAACCACAAAATAGACTGCTGCTGCATCGGGAATACTGTCTCTGTCGGAATGAAGGGCTAAATGTAGAACAACACCGATATCGCGAAGTTCTTTATTATTTAATAAAGGTGCAATCACATCTTGGCCTCTGCGATCGTAAATCAAAACTCTCCAAATGGGTTCAACACGAGATTTTAGATCCTTATTGTTGAGATTTAGCATAACCTTTAAGGTTCCTGAAAGATATAAAACAAATGTATGAAATCAAACTGAACCATTAAACAACAATAGGTTGATTAGATACTTACTTTTTTGCTCACTGGTTATTGATAAGGTTGACATGATGATTGAATTAAATGACCAACAAACGCAAATAACAATTCAGGTTCATTCCATTTTCGGTGAAACAAAATATGAACGTAATCATAAGATTACGTAGTTAAATAAGTTCTTTATAGATGGTGCCAACTTCGAATTCTGTTGATTTTTTCAAAATATTAATTAACTGAATTTTACTCAGAAATTGTAATGAGTTTAGTATTTGAATGAAGGACAACTGTAAGACCAAATTTATGAGCAATTAAAACCAACGATATTACGCCGCTTAGATTGTAATTTGTCCATAAATGTTGCAAATTTTGAATTCATTTTCACAAAAAAACGCCATCTCTTGAAGCATTAAGTTATCTAAATTTCTCTTTCTTTTGAAAACTGCTTTTCCTTTCTTTTCTTTCTTTTTCTTTCTTTCTCTCTGTAATTGAAAGTGCCATCTACCTCTACGATTGTAAGTTAGGTTAGATTGGCAAATGTTAGATCATTGTTGTTCAATAAATTGTGGTTTGTACGGTTCCTGTTAGTTGTGGTTACCCTTTCTGCTTTGTAATCTTCTACAATTATTTTAAATAATTTCTTGTGTAATTAATAGCATTATCCATATTAATCAAGTAATTTGGTAGTTAGTTTATTTAATTGTGTTCATTGTCTTTTCTTTATTAAATCTCATTATCTTTTCTCTTTTTTTTCTATTTGTCCTGTGTTCCTCCATACTCTCTGCTTTCAATCCTTTTCCAACCCTTAACACATACAGATCTGGTTTCAGATGTCAAGTGAAAACCCTGCAGTTGAAATAGGAAGTGAAGTCCAAAAAAGCCCTTTGAAAAAGAAGATTAAGATTGCCCATAGTCCATCTGAGGCTGATTCAACTGAGACAAATAACAGAAAAATCCTTGAATCAAACAACTCACAAAATCGAACCATGGTAACAAACGGTTCTTCGGTCACCAAGAATGGTGGTGATATCGATGAAAGCCTCTACTCACGACAACTTTACGTTCTTGGGCATGAAGCTATGAGAAAAATGGCCTATTCTGATGTTTTGGTTTCCGGTATGAATGGCCTAGGTGTTGAAGTGGCTAAAAATATTATCTTAGGTGGTGTCAAATCTGTTACCATTCATGATGATCAAGTTTGCTCAATCAGTGATCTATCAAGTCAGGTAAGGCGTGATATCTTGCACATTCGTCTGAAAGTTTCGTCATGAAAGTATGGCGTACTTATCTAATTTTCTACCTTTGGATTTGCGTTTCTTTTTCATGATTGATGTTTCTAGAAAAAAACATTCTCGTTATAAAATCGATTTTAACGAAAACCTTTAATTTTTTCTTTCTTTAGTTTTATTTAACTGAAGCTGACATTGGTAAAAATCGAGCTGAAGCTTGTGTTAATCGTCTCGCTGAGCTCAATAATTATGTCCCGGTATCTGCATATTCTGAAAAATTGAATCCAGAATTTCTCAAAAAATTCAAAGTCATTGTTCTGACAGAATCGTCTTTAAAAGAACAAAAGGCTATCTCGGATTTCACACATGCTAATAATATTGCGCTCATCATTGCCTCAGCTAAAGGGTTATTTGGGTATGTAAATTCAAAGCGTAATTCAAATTTTGTTGCTTTAAATGCTTTTGATCATTGTTCTTTAATGACACATTCTCACTTCTTCATTAGGCAAATATTTTGTGATTTCGGACAAAATTTTACCGTCACTGATACCAATGGATTGGAACCCGTTTCTGTGATGATCGCAGGGATCACAAGTGAAGAAGATGGTGTCGTCACTTGTCTTGACGAATCAAGACATGACTTACAAGATGGTGATACAGTAATATTTTCAGAAGTACAAGGTATGACTGAATTAAATAATACAACTAGAAAAGTCAAGGTTCTTGGAAGTTATACCTTTAGCATTGGTGATACTCGAGGATACAGTCCCTATGTAAGAGGAGGTATCGCAACTCAAGTGAAAATCCCTGTGGCTTTTAATTTCGTAAGTATCCTTCAATTCGCCTACTGATTTCACCGGTTGTTCAATTTCTTCTGGTCTCAATTCTGTGAATTTCATTGCCCACTTATTCTAATTTTTATCTTCATCTTTGTTTTCAGAAATCTTTCAGAGAATCTCGAAAGAAGCCAGAATGTCTTATTTCCGATTTTGCTAAAATGGAGCGCCCTCAGCAGTTGCATGTGGCTTTCCAAGTGTTACACAAATTCATCAAGAAAAATGATCGTTACCCTTATTCATGGAACAAACATGATGCTGATGAGTTTGTTGAATTAGCTCGAAAGTTTATATCCAAGCACAATCTCGAAATGGATGTTGACGTTGATCTTATCTCTAAGTTCAGTTTCTTAGCCAAAGGAAATGTTGGTCCAGTCACATGCTTTTTGGGGGGATTTGTTGCCCAAGAGGTTATTAAAGCTTGTAGTGGAAAATTTTCTCCTTTATCTCAATACTACTACTTTGATGCTTTAGAGTGTTTACCAGCTGAAGGTGTCAATGAAAAAGATGTTCAACCCATAGATGGCCGATATGAAGGACAGATAGCTGTGTTCGGTCGAAAATTCCAAGAAAAATTAGCAAATTTACGTTACTTTATTGTCGGGTCAGGTGCTATTGGCTGTGAATATCTGAAAAATTTCGCAATGATGGGTATTGCTTGTGGCTCAGAAGGAAAACTTTATGTCACTGACATGGATATTATTGAAAAATCTAACCTTAATCGTCAATTTCTTTTCCGACCTCATGATGTTGGCTCAATGAAATCAGAGGTTGCTGCTAAGGCCGTTAAAGGAATGAATCCTCAAATCAACATCATACCTCATCAAAATCGAGTTTGCCCAGAAACTGAGAAGGTTTACAGCGATGAATTTTATGAAAATTTAGATGGAGTTCTTAATGCTTTGGACAATGTTGAAGCTCGTATCTATATGGATAGAAGATGTGTATACTATAGAAAACCTCTTATTGATGCTGGAACATTAGGAACTGCTGGTAATGTTCAAGTCGTCATACCATTTATGACAGAAGCATACTCTTCTTCACAAGATCCAGCTGAAAAATCAATACCTATTTGTACTTTAAAAAATTTCCCCAATGCAATTGAACACACGCTTCAATGGGCTAGAGATGAATTTGAGGGGCTTTACAAACAAGACGCAGAAAATGCTAAACAATACTTGACGTGAGTATCATTTTTAAATTTCAAATTTAATCATTTACAGTAATTTTCTCACTTCTCAATATTTTTAGAATTTCAATTCTTTATCTCTTTACTTGTTGATAGTTCGTTCCATTTCAATGACCCTGAATCTTTCCAATCATTCATTTCCTCTCATAGTTTAAAGCCTTCATTTTAATATAATTTTCATTTAATTCATTTAGAGATCCAAAATTTTTCGAAAAACCTGGAAAAACTATGGACATGATGGAGTCTATTAAACGTGTATTGATAGATGAAAAACCCAGATCATTTGAAGATTGTGTCGCATGGGCTCGCCATCATTTTGAACAAAACTTTGTCAATCAAATAAAACAGCTATTATTCAATTTCCCTCCCGATCAATCAACTAGCTCTGGTGCACCTTTCTGGTCTGGTCCTAAACGATGTCCTCATCCTCTCAAATTTGATGTCAACAATCAAACTCATCTTGATTATATTGTTGCTACAGCAAATCTTAGGGCCTACTTATATAGTCTGCCACAAACCCGTGATCGTTCAAAAGTAGCTGAGATTGTTAAGCAAATTCACGTACCAGAATTTGTTCCTAGGTCAGGTGTCAAGATTGCCGTTACTGATGCTGAAGCACAAAATGATGGTAGTCAACTTGATAGAGATAGATTAAATCAAATCCAAAGAGAACTCCCATCTCCTACTAATTTAGCTGAAATTAAGATTAATCCAATAGATTTTGAAAAGGATGACGATGAAAACTTCCATATGGATTTCATTGTAGCAACATCCAACTTACGAGCCGAAAATTATGATATAGCACCCGCTGACCGTCACAAGAGCAAACTTATTGCTGGAAGAATCATCCCAGCAATTGCAACCACCACTGCCGTAGTTGCTGGATTAGCGTGTTTAGAATTGATTAAGGTAATATAATTGATTTTCACATCACTTTATGAGTGATTGCTTGATCATCATTGATTTTTCCATGTATCAATTATTGATCCTTTATTTAATCATCTTTTCTGTTTTTTTATTATAGTTGGCTCAAGGTCATCAAAAACTTGATTTCTATAAAAATGGTTTCGTCAATTTGGCTCAGCCTTTCACCGGTTTCTCAGAGCCTGTTCCGGTTCAAAAACAGAAATATTATGAAAACGAGTTTAGTCTCTGGGATCGATTTGAAGTTGAAGGTGAAATGACTCTTAAAGAGTTCTTAGACTATTTTAAGGTAAGAATACTTTCTATTGAATTTTGATTTTATTTGATGATACATATTTTAACAATCTTTTCTCACACAGAATAAACATAAGCTGGAAATTACCATGCTTTCACAAGGAGTCTGTATGCTATATTCATTTTTCATGGCTGCTGCGAAACGAGAGGAGCGTCTAAATATGAAGTAAGTTTAGAAAATGAAAAATAAATTGCATTTTATTAATTTAATCATTTATTTTCAGCTTGGTGGAGGTTGTGAAGAAAGTCTCAAAGAAAAAGATTGAACCTCATGTTAAAGCTTTGGTATTTGAAATATGCTGCAACGATGAATCAGGTGAAGATGTCGAAGTACCTTACGTTCGGTATACTTTACCTCCAAATTCAACACAATAATATCAACTTATCGTAACAAAATAACAAATTTTCCACTTTTTATTGGTTATCTCTTATGTAACAAATGAAACTAATTAAAAAATTGGAGCAAATTTATTTCCTTCATTCTAAAGCTATAATACGTTGACTTTGATTTCGCGACTTGCCAATTAAACAATCGGATAACTGGCTTGAGATGCTATCCCGCAATGATTTGATCCTCTCTTGATCCTTCCAAATCCATTTTCACCCCAATACTTTCCCCAGCTATTTTTTACTAACCAATAATCTTGACCATCAGATGAACCATAACCAATTAAAGCAATAGCATGATTAAGTGAGTCCAGTCGATTGTCACATGTAGGATCATCAAAAATGCCACCACTTGAAATAAAAAAACTACCATTAGTTTGATCACATTGGATTATTATTCATCAAATATCAATGGAAATTGGATATCATTTGATTATTAAATCATCAACTGATTTCGATTAATAATCAATTTCATCATTTATATTTATAACTTAAAATATGATTAAAGGAATTAGCTTCAAATGGCGCAATTAGATGGTCAATGGCATTTCACGAGATATCAAAATAAATTGTCGAGTATTTCTGTGAATCTAAAGAAACCAACTTTCTACAATTAAATAGACTATTAAGTTATATCTTTATCTATACGAGCTATTAATAAATCTGTCAAGTTAGATTTACCTCATTGAAGAGATGTTTTCTTGGAATAATAACTGTCAATTAAATTAATGGACAGTGAACCTATCAAAGAAGAGTTCATTAATCAATTGAAGATGACCAGCCTTACAACCAAATAGGAGCAAACCAAAGACAATTAATGATTCACTAAACTTGAAAGTTTTACAAACTCAACAAGAACAATGAAGACGTAAATTATTCCCAAATTACCTGTACAGTTGAAATGAAGCTGTAGCTTGAATGGCAACCGAAATGACATGTTTAGATGCAGCATTTAGTAAATAATCTTCTGAATCGGGAATTATTTCAACATAACTCTTAATTTTTCCTCCAATTGTGTCCGAATTGAAGCGACATTCACCTTGCCTATCCTCATATGGATAAGACTGACGAGTGTCTAAGCCATCAGCATCAAGTACATACTGATAGGCCGCTTCCATGGTACCTCCAAGACAACCTTCATTGCCTTCAGCGAAGGAACAGTCAATCAAATTTTGCTCCGACAATTGAGGTACTTTGGGTTCACCATTACTGTTGGCAATAGCAAGAGCACTTTCAATTGCCGCAACCGAAGCAAAGGCCCAACAGGACCCACAAGTACCTTGATCTCTAACATCTGACACAACACCTTTGGTTCGCCAATCAATTGATGCTTCACTCGCGCTTACATTGGTCTTATAATGATAGAATCGACCTTTGCTTAATTTATTTTTATCTAATGGTTTATACCTCAATACTCTTCGAGCAAAATCAGTAAATTCCTGTCGAAAAGAAAGAATTGATTTTAATTATTTCGTATTAAATAGTACCGTATCGGCGCACATAATGTCACGGTGCTTCAAAACGGGCTCGCTCAAATAACAGCACTTTTGCTGCCCATTTAGACGCTCATGGGCTATTATTAATGATCACTTTGAGCTTTTTCTCGACCGATTAGCAGGGAAAAAATTTGATCTTGTGAATGCATTTCTATTAGTGAATTGAAAAATTTAAAATAATAATCAAAATTTCTCTATTAACCGATCAATTTCGATTTTTACAAATTTTTCCTTTTCTGAGTTAACGCATGCTCAGTGACTAAAATTCTCACTTATAACGAGCGAGCTCGATCCGAGGCACCGTGACATTATGTGCGCCGATACGGTAATTGTTGGGGTTAAAGTTTACTAACCATATCTGAGAAGTGATTAATTGACAGTCGATATGATTCTAATCGCTGATCAGCTCGTCTATTGTGATTTTCAATCCTTCCAAGATTGGCAAAGAAGATGCTTCTATGATAATGTTCATCTGATTGTTTCAAATACGTTTTGTTATAATTCAACTGTGAAATTGAATATTACATGTAAAATTAATATAATTGCCATTAAAATCATTAGAATCACAAAATTTCAATCATTTATTTACCTTAAACTGGTTCCATTTTTCGGGATCAAACAGTTTTTTGTGTCCATGTACCAATGATAAAACACAATAAAATTGAATCAATAGAAGAACAGTTATTTTAAACAATTTAGACATTGTTTGTTGAATTAGCAATTGTTAAATGTTAGACTGTTAAAGGTAAAATATCAATGCTCTTCATTTACAATAGATATTAACAATTGAATTGGTTTATCTAAACGCGATTAAATCAATTGTTTAATCGTCACATGAGGTTCTGGACTCGGATTTTTTCCCTTACGTTCATCATTGTCATTTGGGTGCACATTTTTAGCCTTAAACTCAAGTTTTCATATCGGACGATCTTTAACTGATCATAAGCATTTAACCTTTAATATTAATATTTGGTACTTGGAGTAAATTTGAAATCAAAACAATAGTCAATAAGCATTTACAATGAATATCAGTTTATTTAGTACTTTGAGTTTACATTTTTAATAGTAAGCTACAATTAAGCCTTCCTTGAACCAATAAATTGTAAAAAACTGAAAATTTCATTTCATTTCTGGGTAAATTTAAACCAATGGATAACTAGCTTTAGTAGCAATACCGCAGAGGTTCTTGTTGATAGCGAATCGAGCATAACCGGCTTCACCCCAAGTGGTTCCCCATGAGTTACGCACAATCCAGTGGTCAGTTCCATAACCGACAACATTGACTGCATGGTTTAAGAAGAAGCTAAATCCAGGGCAGAATTTATCGTTATAGATTCCAGATCTGGTAAAACAAAAAAGAACGAAATGAAAAGTATTAGAACCAAATTCAATTATTCTGGCAAATTTTAACTTACTTGTAATGTTGGAAGGAATCACCGACATGAATAGCAACGGAAACAACTCGTTCAGCGACAGCATTTTTAAGTGCCTTTTCATCTCTGGATGGGATATCGACATACTTTGAAATGGTTGCGCCTTCATTGGCCTTTGAGTATTTACAGGCATTACTTGAAACTGCAGAGTAACCGTAAGAATCTTCAGTGTCAACTCCACCATTCTTGATGATGTACTCGAAGGCATTGTCGGGTAAACCTCCATTGCAGCCTTGGTTTCCCTCATCGTATGAACAGTCCATCAAGTTTTGTTCAGACAAGGAGACGAGTTTACCTTTGGCTTGAGCCCAAGCACCTTCAACAGAGGCAATGGTAGAAAAGGCCCAACAAGAACCGCATTGAGCTTGATCTTTAATTGGGTTTACGATGCCCTTTGTACGCCAATCAACTGAATCGGGTAAACCGTCAACTGTGCTGTTATTGTGGACCAATGGAGCAACTCGGTCATGATTTGCTTTGTAACCTAAAAGTTTTTCTGAAAATTCCTTGAAAGTCTACAAGAAAATAACAAATCCAACAAATTAGTATCGAACAATTAGGCGATCAAATATTAATAATTACCAAGTCAGTGTAGGCATTTACACCCATTTGGTAGCTTTCCATTCCTCTGGCGTGGCGTTCATTGTGACCGTTGATTTTTCGTAAGTTGGAGGTGAAGATCTTGAGTCGTTGAGCCTCTTCTTTTTCAGAAGTGTAAAGCTTATTGTGTGTGGCCTGGAGAAGAGAAAGTTTGATTAGATTGACATGAAAGAGAATCAAAATTTATGTTGATTTACCTTGAATTTGTTGAACTCAGATTTGAAGTCAACTTCGGTGGCAAAAGCACAAGCCAAAGTGGCTAAAATTAAGATTGTCTTGAACATGGTTAGGTTTGTTTAGTTGGTTCAAATTGAATGGAATGAATGTTTAGAAGCAAATTATTACACTTATATAATACACTAATTGAGATAAAATCTAACATTGAAAATTAACTACTCCCCGTGATTATTGTAGTGATTAAAAGACAATTAAAATACCCCTTTCCAGGGTTGTTACTAAAATCAAGAACAACACAATTTTAACAGCTATGCACAAATTAAACAAATAGGTAAAAACGGGTAAAAATTGCTTCTTTCCAATTTAAACTCTATGCATTTGTAGGGACATAAAAACTGAGTCTATTTGTGCGATTTAAAAGTTTCTCTGATAGACAGTTTAGAAGAGGATCGAACTCAAAGTTGAAACTTCGATTGCCTTTTGTACAATTATGGCTGTAGATATTTTCATGGAACTCATAGAACTGATGTAACTTTTGATGAGAAACCAGAAATTGCACTTATTTTGAGAAATTTAATTTTCTGTTTCGGTAAAACAAATCAAGTCCGATCTTAAGATAAACCGATCACTTTCTGGGACCGTGAGTGTTAGAGAGCTAAAATTTATGATTCTTACATAAAAATTGTAGACGCACATTATGGGTCATATACTTTTTTCAATTTATTGTTAGTTCTCTAGATTTAGGCCATTGCACTTGAAACTTCGAGCATCGATATTTCGAGAATTGGGGCATATACAGTCATCATCCTTTTACCAATTTAATTCTTTACTAATTGAGAATTCAATTCAATCAAATTTACTTTCAATTAGTGCATTTGGGTCATGATATTTGGGTTTTAAATGCACGAGCAACAACTTATTCAACCAAATAAACTCATCTTAACCCATTTCTTGGTAAATAAACCAATTTTCTGGTGAAACTAATAAATGAAATGCAAAGAGTGTTGCCAAATGCTTAAACATTTGAGTTCAGAGCTTAGACTTGTTGAGTTCTGTAGGGAAATGAAAATTGCGTCCGATGGTACTATTAAATAATTTATCAGATGAACAGTTTTTTAGAAAATTGAGGCCAAAGTTGCAACTTCGATCGCCATTTGTTCAGCTATGGATGTATATTTTTTCACGAAACTTTCTTTAACTGATGTAACTTTTGATGAGAAACCAGAAAATGGTCTTATCTTGTAAACTAGCGCTTTCTTCTGCTGTAAAACAGATCAAGTTCGATATTAAGTTAAACCGATCACTTTCTCTGACCGTAAGTGTTAGAGAGCTGAAACTTATGATTCTTACATAAAAATTGTCGGCACACATCATGAATAAAATATTTTTTTCAATTTATTGTTAGTTCTCTAGATTTAGGCCATTGGACATTGATATTTCGAGAATGGTGGCACCTACAGGCATCATTTTTTCACCAATTTAATTCTTTGCTAATTATTAATTCAATTCAATCAAATAAATTACCATTAGTGCATTTGGGTCTTCATATTTAGCTTGTAAATGAACGAGAAACAACTTATTTAGTAAAACAAACTCAACTTAACCCAAATCTTGGTAAATAAATCAATTTTCTGGTTAAACTTATAAATGAAATGCAAAGAGTGCTGCCAAAGGATCGAACATTTTAGTAAAGGATTGAAACTTAGTGGGATTTGTAGGGAAATAAAAACTGCGTCCATTAGTGCTATTAAATAATTTATCCGATTGACAGTTTATTAGAAAATTGAGGTCAAAGTTGCAACTTCGATCGCCATTTGTTCAGCTATGGAAGCAGATATTTTCCTGTGACTTTCTTTAAATGATGTAAATTTTGATTAGAAACCAGAAAATGGTCTTATCTTGTGAACTAGCATTTTCTTTTTCCGTAAAACAGATCAAGTTATATTTTCGGTTAAACGGATCGTTTTCTGTAACCGTGAAATTTAGCAAGCTGAAACTTTTTATTTGTTCATAAGTATTGTTGATGCTCATCGTGGATTAAATACTTTTTTAAATTTATCGTCAGTTCTGTTGATTTTGGCCATTAAACTTAAAACTTTGAGGCTCAATATTTTGGGAACCATATCATTTACAATAATCATTCTTGGTCAAGCGTAAGATTTCATTATGGGCTGAAATATTAACGCATTCAAGATTCTACAAAAAAAGTATTGAATTAAATAATTTACTTATGCTATCAGATTTGATATTTGCTTTCTAAAGTTAAATGGTTCTCAAGTGCAAATCTTATGTTTCAGAAGGATATTAATTGTTTAATGAATTCGGATTACATTGACAGTCGTATTATAACCCATAATGTTTGGTAACATTGTGCAAAAATGTGTTAATTTGTCTTAATTGTAACAACCCTTTTAATGCTTATTAAGCACAAATCCATTGATTTCATTGCAATACGTTCATTAATTCAAACAAAATTTAAAACCAAATGGATTAACTGGATAAGATTCATTGTTTACATCAGCATTTTGAAACTGCAAACTTTATTTTAATTTACAGTTCAAAATCAATTCGCTAAGATTTGTAAATGCCAATTTAATTTACTCGATTCATTAAAGTTTAAATGCATCAAAGATGTGAAATTAATTACTTCAATTACTTTGTTTTTAAATTTAGCTTAGATTTGTTAATTTAATTCGATACTTTGAATTGTTGAATTACACATTACATGCTTTTCGAGGAATGAAAAATTTTACAGAATCAACATTTAAACAAGTGGATAACTTGCAGCACTTGCAATACCACAGAGGTTCTTGTTGATAGCGAACCGAGCATAACCATTTTCACCCCAAGAACTTCCCCATGAGTTTCGTAAGAGCCAGTGATCTGTTCCATAGCCAACTACAGCAACGGCATGGTTCAAGTAGAAGCTCCAACTAGGGCAAAATGAGAGATCAAAGATTCCAGATCTGTTGGGAAACGGATTTAGGTTTAGTCTTGAGCTCAGTTTAGTTGAGGTTTTAATGCCTCTTTAATACTTACTTGTAATTTTGGAATGTTTCTCCAACATGAATGGCTACAGAAACGACTCTTTGAGCGACAGCATTTTTGAGCGCTGCTTCATCGCCTGATTCAATGTCTACAAACTTCGATATTTTAGCACCAACATTGCTAGATGAAAACTTACAAGTTTTACTTGAGGCTGCGGTATAGTTATAAGAGTCTTCAGTATCGACTCCACCATTCTTAATGATGTAATTAAAAGCCTTGTCTGGTAAACCACCGCTGCAACCATTGTTTCCCTCAGCATATGAACAGTCCATCAAGTTTTGTTCAGACAAAGAGACGAGTTTACCTTTGGCTTGAGCCCAAGCACTTTCGACTGAAGCTGTTGTTGAAAAAGCCCAACAAGAACCACATTGCCCTTGATTTTTGATTGCATTTATTATTCCCTTTTCACGCCAATCAACAGTTTCTGGTAAATCGTCAGTTGAGTTGCGGTTGTGGATCAATGGAGCTGGCTGTTGAAGAGTTGCATTGTATCCAAGGAATGCTTTGGAAAATTCAGCAAAAGTCTAACAAAATCATTGTAATAAATAATATTATAAACGCTAAGAATTATATAATTAAATTATATTCTTACCAAATCAGTGTAAGCATTGACTCCCATGTCATAAGTTTCCAATCCATTTGAATGACGTTTATTGTGTTCAGTGATTTTTTTCAAGTTTGAACTAAATACTTGGAATCGATAAGCTTCTTCTTTCGGATGAGCATAGTTTTTATTGTGATTGATCTGGAATAAAATTAATTTTGTTTCGTTATTTTCACTATTAATTGTTAAGTTTGTTAAATATTACCTTGAATTGATTAAACTCTGATTTATAATCAACTTCACTAGCAAAAGTCAAAGCCAAACAGGCTAAAAGTACAATTGAATGAAACATCTTTTTCCTCGATGAAACTATCAAAGATCAACTGTTAGAATCAATTGTTTTAATATTTCGTTGTAGTCAAAGGTTTCTTCTTATATAGCCAGTGAATAGATTTGATATGATCTTTCATTGTTCAATCAATAATGTCGTATCCTAATCAAAATAAGTCTTTACGATAGTTATAGTGTACTAAATGGCCATTTTAAAGAAACACGGTTCGGTGAAAAAGAAAATTCACTCCAATATTGTGATAGATTCAAATCTGATAAATATACACATATAAAGCTGATGATATTAATTGAAAATTGGCAATTTTCCTAATTGCACTTATAAGCACTCATTTTCAACCAATTATCACACTTTCAATTTCAACGCATCGTAATTAAATTGCCTTTTTATAAATCAAATTACGCATGTTAATGTTACAAATTAGTGATTCATGTAGGTGTTGAAATTTTGGACTATGAAATCGGAAGATGTCAAGTGTTCAAGTTGTTTAAACAATTAACTCAATTGTTTATTCTTTTGCAATTTATTCATATTCATAATATTATGATCAGATTCTGATCAGATTCAGATTGTCTAGTATACATTAATTGTACTCGAAGACAATGGAGTTTTCAAGGTTTAATTTAGACATAATGGTTAACTTGATTTAGATAAATTGATTTCATTGGTGATGAAAGATGCTTCCAATTACGGGGAACGATGAAAAGATCAGAAACTGACCCGAAAAATAAGCTCAGTTTAAAGATTCAGGATTAACCCAGGTTTAGGTTGTTGCTAAAAAGACACAACTTAACACAATTGTCACATTTATGCACACATTGACACAAATACTTCTAGAAAAATGGGCAAAAACATGTAACAATTGATTTCTTTCAGATTGAAACACTGTTAATTTGTAGGGACATAAGAACTGAGTCTATTTGTGCAATTTAAAAGTTTCTCTGATAGACAGTTTAGAAGAAAATCGAGCTCAAAGTTGGAACTTCGATTGTCTTTTGTACAATTACGGAAGCAGATTTGTTCATGAAACTCATTTTCACTTATGTAACTTTTGAGGAAAAACCAGAAAATGCTTTTATTTTGAGAAATATAATTTTCTGTTTCGGTAAAACAGATCAAGTTCGATCTTAAGTTAAACCGATCACTTTCTCTGACCGTAAGTGTTAGAGAGCTGTAACTTATGATTCTTACATAAAAATTGTCGGCACACATCATGGATAAAATATTTTTTTCAATTTATTGTTAGTTCTCTAGATTAAGGCCATTGGACCCAAAACTTTGGACATTGATATTTCGAGAATTGGGGTACCTACAGTCATCATTCTTTCACCAATTTAATTCTTTACTAATTGTCGATTTAATTCAATCAAATAAATTACCATTAACGCATTTGGCTCTTGATATTTGGCTTGTAAATTAACGAGCAACAACTTATTCAACCAAATAAACTCATCTTAACCCATTTCTTGGTAAATAAACCAATTTTCTGGTTAAACTAATAAATGAAATGCAAAGAGAGCTGCCAAATGCTTAAACATTTGAGTTCAGAGCTTAGACTTGGTGAGTTTTGTAGGGAAATGAAAACTGCGTCCGATGGTACTATTAAATAATTTATAAGATGAACAGTTTCTTAGAAAATTGAGGTCAAATTTGCAACTTCGATCGCCATTTTCTAAGCTATGTAAGTATATTTTTTCACGAAACTTTCTTCAACTGATGTAACTTTTGATGAGAAACCAGAAAAGGGTCTTATTTTGTGAACTAGCGTTTTCTTTTTCTGTAAAATAGATCAAGTTATATTTTCGGTTAAACGAACCGTTTTCTGTAACCGTGAGAGTTAGCGAGCTGAAACTCAACATTTGCGCATAAAAATTGTTGGTTCACATCATGTGATAGTTGTGTATTTTTAGTAACAATCCCAGGTTTAGTTTCGAAACATTGGTCAACATCTTTTAAAAACTTTAAGAAAACATAAAGTTTGAATATTTTAATGCCATAACCTCTTTAAGCTTCAACTAGGAAATTAATTGTTTATTCAAGAAAGCTAAGTATTGAATGGGCAAAGATTGACTGATTTTTCGTTCCATACATTACTCAAACTTATAATACAAAGCTCTAATGTATTCAACATACAATAAATGTACAATGTTGCCATTTATATTAAAGAATTTATTATGCAAAGCTTTTTCCGAAAAAGATTTAGATTTTTATAGAATCTGATCAAATTTTATTTAAAATTTTCTGGTTCAAGAGTTACATTTGATGTTTGCAAATCGCAAAATTACTAAACAAGTGGGTAACTGGCTTTAGTAGCAATACCACATAAGTTTTTACCCATTGCGAACCGAGCATAACCCTTTTCACCCCAAGTGGTTCCCCACGAGTTTCGGACAATCCAGTAGTTGGTTCCATATCCAACAACAGCAACACCATGGTTAAGTTGAGTCAAGTGGCCAGGACAGAAGAAGTCGTCGTAAATTCCAGATCTGTGAAGTAAGTAAACAAAAGAATAAATTGAATAGTCTATTCACTGAACATCTTGCAGTTGAACTTACTTGTAGTTTTGAAGTGAAGAACCAGCGTGAATACCAACAGAAACAACTCGTTCAGCGGCAGCATTTTTCAATGCATTTTCATCTCTCAATGGGATATCGACATACTTTGAAATGACTGCACCTTCTTTGGCCTTTGAGTATTTGCAAGTTTTACTTTCAGTAGCAGTGTAAGGATAAGAGGCTTCAGTATCAACTCCACCATTCTTGATGATGTAGTCAAAGGCATTGTCTGGTAAACCTCCGTGACAACCATTGTTTCCCTCATCGTATGAACAGTCCATCAAGTTTTGTTCAGACAAGGCAACGAGTTTACCCTTAGCCTGAGCCCAGGCACCTTCAACCGAAGCAGTTGTTGAAAAGGCCCAACAAGAACCGCATTGAGCTTGATCTTTGATTTCAGCAACAATTCCCTTTTCACGCCAATCGATTGTTTTTGGTAAATCATTTACCGAGTTGCGGTTGTGAATCAATGGAGCTTCTCGTTGAAGAGTTGCATTAAATCCAAGAAATGCTTTGGAAAATTCATCGAAAGTCTATCAAATTAATATTAAATTATTATCGATTATTAAAACACAAAATGTTATTTAATTATATTCTTACCAAATCAGTGTAAGCATTGACTCCCATGTCATAAGTTTCCAATCCATTTGCATGACGTTTATTGTGTTCAGTAATTTTTTTCAAATTTGAACTAAATACTTGGAATCGATAAGCTTCTTCTTTTGGATGAGCATAGTTTTTATTGTGATTGATCTGGAATAAAATTCAATTTTGTTTCGTTATTTTCACTATTAATTGTTAAGGTTGTTAATTATTACCTTGAATTGATTAAACTCAGATTTATAATCAACTTCACTTGCAAAAGTCAAAGCCAAACAGGCTAAAAGTACAATTGAATGAAACATCTTTTTTTCTTGATGAAACTATCAAAGATCAACTGTTAGAATCAATTGTTTTAATATTTCGTTGTAGTCAAAGGTTTCTTCTTATATAGCCATTGAATAGATTTGATATGATCTCTAATTGTTTCGTGAATCACATATTGTCAATATTAACCTTCAATTAATCACCTAATGATGTTATACTGATTTTGTTTCCAAAGTCATCTAAAGGTAGATCAAGTTATTTTAAAATTAAACGATATTTGAATTAGATTATTTTTATTGATAATTTCAATGAATCAGGCTAATTACTCATAGTTAGTCACAAAAATTGAGGAAACAATGGTCATGATTAATGCTAGTGAAAGTTGAAATTTAATTTAATTTATAACAATTTGATGGAAATGGAAATCAAAGATTTAAACAATTGGATAATAAGCCATGTTGGCAACTCCACACAAATTTTTACCCCGAGCCATTCTTATGTAACCATTTTCGCCCCAACTGGTTCCCCAACTGTTTTTAATGATGTAATAATCAGTTGAATTTTGTGAATCATAACCTACAACTGTTACTCCATGGTTAATGTCAGTTGTGGTACAGGTTGAAGTGGTAAAAATGCCCGATTCGTAGGCAACAAAATCATCTTCAGCATCAATACCAATCGAGACTGGGTTAAGAGCAACAGCCGAGACTAGAGCATCTTCATCATTCTGAGGTATTCCAACAAAATTGCTAATCTTGGCACCAACATCGGTAAAGGTAAACCAACATTGACCCTGGAGAGCCTCATAAGGATAAGATGCTTCCGTATCAATGCCACCCTCTTCAATAACATAATCCAAAGCATTGTCAATGAACCCACCACGACATCCATAGTTGCCCTTAGTGGCACAATCAAGAATCTGTTGTTCACTCAGTGAAACCAGTTTACCCTTAGCTTTGGCCCAAGCCCCTTCAATACCAGCAACCGAGGCAAAAGCCCAGCAAGAACCACAAGCACCTTGATCTTTGACTGGAGTAACCAAACCTTTAGCTCGCCAATCAACTGACTTTGGAAGTTCATCCAACTGGAATGCTTTCTTGTTGTGAAGATATGGTGAATTTACGGGTGAACTTGATCTCGTCTGTAAAATTTTTTCCTTAATTTCCGTGAATTCCTGGAAAAAGAAACAAAGAGTTAACATTTAGATAACCCGAAAAATCGATTCATCTGTTAATCTTTCACTTTGACAATAAACAATCATACCATATCCGTGAATTGGTTGATACCTTTGCGATAAGTTTCAAGTCCAGAATCGGCTCGTTCATTGTGTTTGACTATTTTGTTCAAATTGCGAGTGAAAATGAGTTTTCTGGTTGATTCCTCTTCTTCCGATGCATACACTTTTCCATGCTTTTGCTTGAACTGTGACCAAGATGATTCAACTTGGTCAACATCAAGCTCAGCCACCGCTAAACCAGCTAAACAAATGATCAATGTCAATGATATAAAGTTGAACATTTTGGAGACTAAAACAGAAACAAAATCTTAATTGTAACTGACAGTTAAACTGATTATGCAAAAGTGATTAATGCTTCTTGCCTTGAATCTTTTTTATACTCAAACAACAATTGGTTTGAACAATTTTTTCAACTAACTGTTAATCAAACTGCCTACGAGATTTAATTGTTTTCTGCTTCTTACTCTTTACCTTCACAAAATCAAACTAAACATCTTTTACTCTTGCTAATCAACCTTTTGAACCTTTAATTGTTTAATAAATTAGCTGATTAACAAAATTATCACTCAACAATCAACAGTGGATAAAACATTGCAGAGACTTGGGAAGTTCCCAGTTTTAGTTGTTTCATTGTTAGAAAATTGATATTTTCTCCTCATTTTGATTAATACAATTTATATGAGATTTACATTGTCAATAATTTATTAATCAAGTAAATAATGCCTGGAATAGATTAAAAGCTTAATAAATTTTCGCATAAATTGTTTATCGTCAAATGAAAGGTTTGACCGATAACTGAAGCTTAAAAGTGTAGCTTGATGATTGGATAAAATCCAACCATTTCGATTCCACATTGGCCCATTTGGATTCTTGCATATCCATCTTCACCCCATGAAGTACTCCAACTGTTTCTCAATATCCAATAATCAATTTCACTTGGCTCATCACGAGTTGAATTTTTACCCGATTCACTGACTTTACCATAGCCAACCAGATTAACGGCATGATTAAGTGATCGAGCTGTATTTTTGCATCCATTGGACGAGAAAACTCCACTCCTAGTGATTAATATCAAGAGTTGTATATTATTATGATATATTAGTTTTAAAAGAAATCAAATCGGAAAATTGATAAAACCAAAAATCACGAGACAGCTTTTGTTTAGCTTAAATGGTCTAATCTATTGGATTTGGTTGCATTGATGGTTAGATAGAGATGAGAACTCACTTGTAATGTTGAAATTTATTGTCAACTTCCATGGCAACAGCGACATTCTTCTGTGCGACAGCGGATTTCATGTTTTCCAATCCGTCAACGGAGGCATAATTTTTAAGGCTAACAGCTGCTTTGGTTGGTTGATATTTACAGACCAGGGAATCTCGAGCGGTATATGGATAGTCAGCGGCAGTATTGATACCACCAAGTCGCATGACGGTTCGATAAGCATCAGACATCCAACCTCCGTTGCACCCAAGATTACCTTCAGCCCATGAACAGTCCATCAAGTTTTGTTCACTAAGAGTCGTTTTGTTGCCAGTTGCTTGTGCCAAAGCTGACTCCAATGAGCTGGCTGTTGAAAATGACCAGCAAGATCCGCAAGCTCCTTGATTCTTGATTGAACCCACTATGCCAGACTCTCGCCAGTCAAGGAATTTAGGTAAATTTTCTGAAGGATCGGCAACATGAGTTATTGGTGCACCTAAAAACCAACTACTTCGGAATCGAGTTCCAAGATATTTGAGTGAAAATTCGTTGAAAGACTGGATGAATGAGCAAAAAACAGCAAATTTGGTGAAATCTTTTGTCTTATCTTCTATCAACTATCTCTTACCATGTCAGTGAATTTGTTGATTCCCATTGTAAATGTTTCAAGTCCTTTCTCGGCTCTATCATTGTGATAGTTAATTGTGGCCAAATTTTGGGCAAAAATGTTTAGTCGATAGCGCTCTTCTCTTTCTGAGTTGTAAATCTTTTGAAATTCATTCTGAACAAAATTATGCATCAAAATACATTGTTAGTATCATTGAAATGTCAATTGGTTAAGTATATTGAGCCAAGAACAGTTTTAATGGCAATTTTGACAACTCAAGAGCCATCAACACTTACCTTGAAAAGAGACCAAATTTGATTTAAATCAAATGATTTGGATGGAGCATTATGAATCTCAGCTGGAACGATAAGCAATAATAGTAATAATAACATGATAATATTGATTTGATAGCGATTAAAAGGTAAAAATAACAATGGAATCAACAAGAAACAAAAAGGTTAAAGATTATTCTTGAAGATAAAATATTATACTGTTGATGTTATACTATCAATGAAAGCTCTAGAATGGGAAATTAATTTATAATCAACTTGAATCTACTCATTTCGGTGAGTCTATCCTTGATTTTAATTAAATCACTAATAAATATGGTTAACTGTTGCTTAACATTAGCTATAACTGTTGACTGTTTCTAACATTTGAACCTCTGTTTCCATAAATTTGGTGCAAAAAACAAATAATAGGCATATTAATTTAATGTGATAATCAACAGATGGTTCCTGCATTATACTGATTCATGGGTTATTAAATAATCATGACAAATAATATTAGCTGAAGGAAACTCATAAATAATTGCTCAGTAATGTAATGGTCGTACAAGTTCAGTTTTCATGTACCCAAACCTGGGCTTACATATTTTGATTACAATTTTTAGTCCAATGAGATGAAAATTTTCAGATTTGATTAAATTTTCATGGAAATAAATTTAAAGAAAAGCATTCTGATTGATTATTCAAGTTTATTATAAATTAACTTGTCTGGTTTTATTGAAATCTCGGTGTTTTACTCCGGAAAAGGTTGAATCTTGTTTTACACTTTTAGTTGCCACATCAAACAGTCGTTTCGAGATTGATAGAAAGGTCAGGAATTAGTTAATTGCTTTGAAAAGTGAAACAGGTTTACGATATAATAATTGAATGTTTTTATCGTACAATCCGAAAATCAATTAGACTTGGTGTGACAATGGAAAAACATTTAGATATTTGGGTAAACAGATTTATGCACCTATTTATACTTCTAGCATTAAAGGTTCATTTTATGGAAATTAATCACTCAGTTTTTGTCCTAACTATGCATATACATGAGATATTATGATGACAAACCAAAATTGATTTTTTGCTCTAACACTCTGATAATAACACAGTTTGAGAGCGTTTTCATGTCAACTGAATACATTCACTTCATAAACAAGATGGATATCTTCTGTCAACCTTTTAACAATATTTTTAGTCAATTTTTCGCCTTCACCGTGAGTAATATTAGAGTGGGAAATTTTAACGGGCATCAATTTTTTTTATTTATTTGTAAACAAAAGAGTTACATTTGATTTTATCAAATAGCAATTCGTAAATACAAATAAGCTTAGACAACAACATAACTGGCTTGAGTGGCAACACCACAAAGGTTCTTTCCTCTGGCCATTCGGAAGTAACCCTTTTCTCCCCAGCCTGCACCCCAACTGTTTTTGATGATCCAGAAGTCCTTTGATCCAGTACCGTAACCAACAGCGGTGACACCATGGTTAAGCTTGTCAGCTGAAGATGAGCAAAGGAGTCCAATATCAAAGACACCACCACTAGAGAGAGAGGAAAAAATCGATAAATAATTGTTCGATTGAATGAAAAAAAGGTTACAAAAATAAACACTTACAAGTAAAGTTGAAGGAAGATAGAAGCATCAATAGCAACTGAAACGGGTTGAAGAGCGACAGCGGTGGCTAAAGCTTTTTCATTTCCACTTTCAACATCAACAAATGAGCTAATAGTAGCACCAACATCAGATGATTTGAATGCACATGAACCATCGGCGCCTTTGTATGGGTAAGAGCTTTCAGTGTCAATACCTTTGTTGTTGATGACATAGGTAAAAGCATGATCCATTAAACCTCCATTGCAACCTTGGTCAACATCATCTTTAGCACAATCAACAAGATTTTGTTCACTGAGAGAGACAAGTTTTCCATTTTTAAGGAAGTTGGCACCTTCAATGCCAGCAACAGCTGAGAATGCCCAACAAGATCCACATGAACCTTGATCCTTAACAGGTGTTACGGCACCCTTTTCTCGCCAGTCAACGGAGGTAGGTAAGTCTCCAAAGTAAGCAGAGTTGTGAAGAAGTGGAGCTGGTTTCTTTTCTGCACCTCTGTAGTTCAAGTATCGGGCGGCAAATTCTTCATAAGTCTGGCGGAAGGAAAAAAGGAAACAAGAACATAAAGTTAAAAATATGAACTCAAAGGTTAGTTTTCAAAGCATCTTCTGTTTACAACTTACCAAGTCAGCGAACTTGTTGACTCCAAGCCAGAATGAGTGTTCACCATTGTTAGCCTTTTCGTTGTGGTTTTTGATGAATTCAAGGTTTTTTGCGAAAATTTCAAATCGTTTAGCTTCTTCTTTTTCATCGGCGTAAACAACACTGTGGTTAGTCTAAGGGAGAAAGAAAAATAAATTAGCAACAGATCTCTAAATCATTTTACTGCAACAGCCTGAGGCTCATTGGTTAATGTAAATACAAAGGGAATAAATTGATTTACCTTGAAAGCTGAAAACTGTTGTTTAATTTCATCAACAGAAATAGAGTATCCATAAGTAAGAGCAACAAGAGTTGCCAAAAGAGCAAATCGCAACATGATGAAAAGAGGTTTTTAGTGTAACCGAAAGGAACAGAAAAGAATTGATTGGATTCACAAACAACCGGTGGCTTTAAATATCCTGTTAAAATGGTTAATCGTTAACAATTGATTGAATACGATAAGATGCAAAAGTGTTTATGCGGAAAAAATAAAGACCCATCCAAATCAGAGATTATCCTTTGTCATGATCTGCTAGGAATTCTCTTTCTATTCCAATCAACCCAAGCATTGTCATTATTTATCATGCTCATCATGGTAATACACAGTCATAATTATCTTCATTCGGTAACAATTAATAAACCAAACTAAATATCAAATTCACAATGAAACAATTACACAATACAATAATTACAATGGGTAAGAAGATAGCAAGCAATAGCCAAGAAAACCTAAGAGAAGCGCCAATTCAAACAAAAGGGAAAAATCTATCATCACAAATTGTTTCTTTAGCCACAAAGTGAAACAATAAAATTCATAAATAATGCTAAATACTCTTATTATTATGCTATAGAATAACAAGTTTTTCTGGTTCAAATTGTACTTGAATTTCCTCAAGATAATGATAGCTCAGTTTATGAAATTTTATATAATCCAACCAATTATTATCACATTAGGTAAAGATTAAACTGCTTAATAACAACAACATGTAATAATTAGCTAAAAACAAGACACATTTTTTTGCAGGTTAAAGTAAAGTTCATTGGCTTCAGCAGTAATTTCCTTGATCAATTCTATTTACACCTAACAATGGCTAATAATTAGCTATTAACAGCCAACATGACAAACATAATTTTATATCATATTAATGAACCCTTAAACTTTTCAAGTGTTTACAATGTTTTCAAGAGGAAATTCAATCCAATGTTTAATAGTTTCATTTACAATATATTGAGAGTTCATTTTATAATTTATACAGAATATACATAATGCATGATTATCATAATCATAACGTCATGATAATATATTATTAATAAATATGTCAGCAGTGAATTGAAGATACTTTTAAAGCTGAATAATAGAAAATTTTAATCTGTTAAAAATGCAATCTTAGTTACTCAAGTTGATTGAAAAAATTTTCATTGTCAAAGTAAATTGAAATACAGCAACATTGAAGGCTTCAATTGAAAATCTGAAACCCAATTTGAACCCAAAAACCCACGATTAAACATGTAATAAATTCAGAAATACAAAGCAAAGAATCAATCTCAGATAATTTAAAGTCAATGGAAGAGGTAAAAGAATCAAGTTCAATCTCAATTAATATTATTTGCTGGTTAAAATGGCTGTTGGCCTAAAAATGGGTTCCTTTGCAATGTGAGATGTTAACCACTGGTCTATATTTTCAAGACTGGCCATTGTTACACTTGACCTGACAATTTATTGTTTGAAGCTAAAGGGTGAAATGAGAGGCAATGTTTATTGAAGGATATTGGATTTGAGTTTCAATTCTGTCAGTCTAATAACTGTTATAAAATGGAAACAGTAATAATTATGTTTACACTGGTTGGGATAAATTTCCGATTCTTTGGAGATAGAAACGGAAAAAAGTGAATAAGCTCATCATGTAATTCACCCTTGAAAGTTTCTATTCATTTCAAGGTGTTAATGGGTTTTTGAATAAATATGATAATCATTTTTATGCTGCTCTATGAATATTATACCTGAGGATGTTGTGTGTAAAGAAAAAGAATAAAGTTGATTCATTTTTTTCTTGATTGTTCCCAGGTAAAATAAATATTTGAAAAGGTTCAATACCAATATGAAAGATGATCATGAACTTGGAAATGTGTCTATTTAATCATGAAAGGTTAAAGTGTTTCTCAAGTGATGGTAAGTGGATTGAAATTTGGCTCATTCCTATTCATTACTTAGCAACCAACATCTTTCGGGTTATTTTCATTGCATCATTATCAAATAATATCAAGGGATTAATAATATCAAATCAAAATAAGTGATGAATCGGAGAGATTGACATTGAAATTTTCATTTCATTTGACAACAGTCGTACAATGTTTACCTTTAAAACATTAATATTGCAGTTTACCTGTTCTTTGGAGACTCTTGTACTTTTCATCAACATTCAACTTAATTTTTAGAAACGTTTTCAATTAATATTACAAGAGACTCTACCATCGTCACTAATCGCAACATTGTTATAGATTAACAACTGAGATTTTGTCAGTTTAATTTTTAATTTGGCCATCAATTTAGATTGAAATACAAATGTATAATACATCTTGAAGAGGAATCGGAAATAAAGAAACCAAATGATACTCCAATTGTTCAAGTGCAAGAAATGAATCAAAGCAAACCAAAAGTGTGTAAAATATACAAATGCCCAAGTTAGGGTCAACAGTTTCATATTTTGTTTGAACACAGGAAGAAAATTTGAACCAAATCGATGATAAAATAGGTCATTGAATATTTAGAATATAATTAAATCGAAAATGGCTGATCTTGCAATTCAATTAAATCCTGAATTTACACAAGAATAACGACTGAACCCAGTTGAATCAAATAAACAAGATTTTGTAATTGAAAAATTGTCTTTAGCCAGAACGTCATCGGGTTAAATTATAATATCTATAAAGTTTTTCCGTTTCTGTGAATGATTTGAAATACGGATTCTGATATATCGTGAATGATATCAGAAATCTGAGAAGAGGTGAATTCAAACGTTTTTCAAGTTTCTAAGGCTCAGGTATTTTGATTTCTTTTTTGTTTTAGACTTGTCACATTTAAAATTGGAACCAAGTTTGGAATTAGAAAAGGTAATTTAACAGATAACAGGCTTGGTTACAGGCTTCTCTGGTTAATCTGATTGTCTTGATTAGTTGCCATTGAGCTGGTTTTGTTTATTGTGACAGTCAAACTAATTTGATCAGTTAGACGACAATTAGGCTTTTAGTTAATTACTTTTATCCTTGTTTGGGTGGAAGGGCAATAAAATGAAAGTTGAATGTAATTTTTGAAGAACGCTTAAAGAAGAAATTAAATCTTGGATTTAGAGAAAGAGAAAGGTAATTGGATTGATTTGATGGTTCAGATGGATGATGTTACCAATGTTGTTTAAATGAAAAAGATAGAATAAGATGAGTAAATATCAATCAGGATTCCATGTTGATTGGATTCGTTTCCTTCAAATCCACTGCGACTTTTTTTTGTTGAGTTTTCTTTATATTTTTTTGTTTCAAATTTATTGGAACAGCCGCAGGATGAAGATGACGAGAGAAGATGAAGATAGAGAGAGAGAAGAGGTGGGATAAAGGAGGTAAATTATGGTAGATATAATCAAATCTATCACCATACTCTCTTCTTTCCATACTCAGTTTCAATTCTTTGTACAGAATTTGGGCAATCTTGATAACTTTTCCAGTGTTCCTTCTTGTCAATTAAAATTTAATTGCATTTCGCTTAATCTGGTAATTTGTTTAACTTTTTTATCCAGCCATAATTGTTTTCGTCCTAGCTGTTCCACCAACAACGACTCTTCCAGAAAATAATTTACATCAATTACCACCTGAACTTGAAAATTGTCAACAAAGGATTATTTTGTTTTTGTTTGTCCCAGTTTGTTCCTTGACAGTTTCAAATCTTAATCTTTCTTTTCAACAGTTCATTTTGGTTTTCAAATTTGTCGTTACATTTGATGGGTTAAAGATAATTTTTGTTTTGTGCTCCTTTTGTCATCTGGTTTAATGCTTGATTAATAATGTAGTTTGTCCTGTGATTATTAAATGGCCATCATCTAGAGCGATCCTATTCTTTGATAAAAACCAAAATGTAACTTTAAGTCTCAGTGAATCATTAAATTATCAATGGGAAGTTTTATGGAAAAGAAAAATATTCTGACAATCCACATCGAATCATTTTTTCTTTTAACCATTTTAGTTAATTTGACGAGTGTTTCACCCATCAGCCCACCATTACAGTTAAATATACAGCCACAAAATGAACGAACACAAAGACTTTCATTACAGAGGGGTTTTCATCAGCAACAACAACACCAACAGATTCGCCATGATAAACAACAGCAAAATGGAAATGAATATCAGCAAGAGTTGACCAAAACTAGTAATAAACGGCAGCAACAATTCAAATCATCTGAATCAACTAAAGAGTTAATAGAGCAACAAGAGATACGGGAAAGACAGATACTGTTGATACAAGAGAAACAACGTCAACAAAAAGAGCAATTACAACGGTTGGGTGTAAATTTGGTCTGTGACACGCATTTATGTTCAGCTAATACTGAAGATTATGGCGATGACAATGATTTAAATAACAATGTTGGCGACAACAGTCTTCAAGCAGATGAACCAACTGAAACCAAACAGTGTAGCTGTGAACCAGCCTGTACCAAGTATGGTGATTGTTGCTTGGATTCAGAGTATTCTAAAACAACTTTGGACAGTAAAAATCACGGTATCGGTAAAATAGATGGTCCTTGGCGCCATTGGCAATGTACAACACTACGACTGTTCAGCCATTCAATTCACATTCTAACCATATCAGGGTGTTCACGATTTTGGCCTCGAAAACCTGGTGATTCAATACAAGAAAAGTGTGAAGGTACCGGAGATGCTGATCCTTTCCTTTCAGTTCCCATTTATTCGCCTCGATCCAAACACAATTATCGTAATTTATACTGCGCTGTATGTAATTATGATGCTACGTACGCTCAAACCTGGGAAACATTTACCATGTGTGTTAAAAACGATTCACTTGGTCGATGCTCTAAGTCTTTTGTTTACTTTGAAAAGCCTAAAGGAGTAGATTTACATGAATGTTATCCAACAGATTATGATTATTGTCCTCGAACAGTTAACAGTAATATTGGCACTGAAGATATGATTAAATGTGGACTTTACTATGCTCCAGTAAAGTTGGCTGATGGATTTACGGCTAAAAATGAATGGTGTGCAGCCTGTAACAATGTTACCATCATTGGTTCCGTTTGTCCAGAAACTCGTCCTCACTATGAAAGACCGCCAGTCACCATAAATTCTGGAAGACATTTTTCTCTTCCAGTTATTCTTGACATTGATTTTACAGCTGGAGGTTTGATTGTCGGTACACAAGAACGTTGTCCACCAAACCATGTTTACGATCCATGGAAGAGAGCTTGCCGAGTGGTTACTTGTGATCCTGATGCTCAACTTGAGGGAGATCGATGTGTTCCCACAGCTGATTATCACTCGGGTACAACATCAGCTTTTCAAGTTTGTCCAAAGATTAGCTTTAATCCGGAAGAATACATTATCTTTCCCAATGGAACAGCTTATATTGCCTCAAGGGATAAGAAGATTGAACCAGGACATTATCGTATTGATGTAGCTTCACTCAAATTATCCATCTGTGCTCATTCCCATGTAATCTTGATTGGAAAATTCAGCCGAACCCATGATTTTCTTTCCAACATTGGTATTTCAATATCAATTGTTTCACTTTTGGCCAAAATAATTCTCTTCTTTTGCCTTCCTGGTCCTCGTCGCACAGCTAATATTGTTATCCTCTTTCTCTGTATATCACTTCTATTGGCTCAATCACTTTTCCTATTTGGCATTAACCTAACCTCAAATCCACTCTGTTGTCAAATTATTGGCATTTCAATTCATTATCTTTTTTTGGCAACTTTCTTCTGGATGAATGTTCTTTCCTATGACATCTTCTGTACCTTCTCAATGGAAAGACTGGTTCCTCAGGTTAAAATATCATCAACTCGACAAATCATTTCTTATTCATTTTATGGTTGGTTTACACCTTTCATAGTCATTCTCATTTCAACCATCGTTGACCAATATGCTAAGTCATCTATTTTTGCCCCCAACTATGGCCATAAAATGTGCTGGGTTTCCAATCGTCTGGCTCTTCTTGTTTTCTTTGCTGCTCCAGTTGCGATTCTTTTAATAACGAACTCAGGTAAAGAAATACTTTCCAGTTATTTTCTGAAAAAAAGATGAGATGAAGTTGAAACAATTAATCTAAACGATGATTCCATTTTTGATTAATATTGGTTTTTGAGTTGAAATTTAAACAAAAAGTAAAGCGATTCTTTGCTTGAAGCTTCAATATTTACAATCTCAATAATTTTCTAAATTTTTTGTAATATTTTGAAAATTTGATTGATTGGTTAACCTCAACTCTTGCAGTAATCAACAATACCGGTGTGATTTGTTATTGATTAATGATCGCAATTTCATTTTATGTGTAATCAGCTTTTGTTTGCTTCATTTCAACAAGTTAAATAGATTGTAAATATTACTGGTTTTATTTGTCAATTTTTTTCCTTCGTTAGACCTCGATTGAAGTAATACAGTATGTAGTATTGTCAAATTTATCTTTGGGTTACTAGTAACTCACTGGTTTTATGTTATTTTGATTACTATTCTAACTCAATTATACGTTTACATTATGACCTAACTTTACCAAGAAAACTTTTCCATTAGTTCCGAATAGGATATTGATTGATTGAAGGAATATAACAAAAAAATTATCCTGAGCGAAGACAAGCAGTAGGGATTTTTTCACAGAATAATACTGAATGAGTTTACTTGTTTACCTTTCAAAATATTCATCACCATTCGCATGTATTTACTATATTTTTATAATTGTTGCCGCCATGATCCAATGAGTTTGTGGCAGGTAAATCCTTTTCAAGACTAGCATCGGACTTGAAATCAAGTAAACCAATCACAGTGGTTTCAGTGAGATCATTTGTCATAAATGAGGTAGAATAGCCGGAGATAATGAGAAATGGCGCAAATGTGAGAGGAAAGGCGGCATCGTCGGCTTTACTCTTTCATTTTGCCCTGGAAATTTTTATATATTGTAAAAATATTTCCCTGGCAGAGAGAGTAAAAATTGATGGGAAAAACTTTGAGTCTGTGTGAAAATCAGCATCTAAGCAGGTCAATCTTGACAAGATTCTGGTCCCTCAACAGCAATGCCAGTAAAGTAAACAAATGAGCCCTTTGAAAGTTTTCCTGTAAAAAGCAAAAGCTTGTTAAATAAAGCCTTTCTTTACTCATTGTCACCAAGTTTACACATTATCTTTGTGAGACTTAATTCAATGCTTACCTTGTTTAGATAGTGGTGGAAGAAGAAACTCGTTTGGTACATAATTAAATTAATCATAGTCATCTGAGTTTAAACAAACACTAAATGATCACAGATGTTTTCAATTTTTATAAAATGAATTTAGTTAAAGATGAACACTTTAAAGTTTCTTTTTGACGTTACTTTTCACTTTTAAAAAGAGAACTCAGAGAAGTTTGATTGGGCGGTAATTTCATTACCATCTAATAAAATTAAATTAAAGGAATAGTTGAGAAGCAATTACATTAATCTTATAATAAAAATAAATGTTATATAATCAACAATTTTCCATAAAATTTTTCAAATTTTACTTGAACAGTACTAGGTGACATCTAGTGTTAACTAATAGACTCAAATAACAATTTCAGTTTGTTTTTGAGTTTCACTTTTAGAAATGTTTATTGATCGTAAAAAAAGCAGTTTATTAAGTAAACTGTGAGTTTATTAAATCAAGTTTATTGAAGCTATAACTTTTATAACCTTTTAATTAACCCTCTATCCAATGGGTTATTGATTTAAAATTAATAACAATTCTTAATACTAACCTTTAGCTTCATCTAAATTTAAATTGTAATTGTGATTGTTGTAAGCAAATGAAAACGAAGGTTCATATTTAACTTTTGAGCATTATTGAGTTAACTTAATGGCTCCTTGAAAGTTATTAATCATTATAAATCATGTCCTTTTATTGATAATTTATGGTTTCTGCTAGTTAATCAAAAGTTATGATTTTACGGTTTAAATGGAGAACAAATTTTAAACCATTTTTGCTAAAAAATTACCAATTATGAGAGTAAAATTTTAATTGTGATTACCTTTCATTAATGTCCATTTATCCTCAACATAACAAGATAACTTAATTTAGATGTTTAAAATCATTGACTATTTCCGAAAAATAAAAAACAAACAATTAAATTTTCAAATTGTGACTTTAGCTTCAAGATTATCTTAAATTGTTCATAGTTTGATGTTTGGATGATAAAAATTTTATCCCATTTTCAGTAACTAATGTTGAGATGAATGGATATTAATAGCGGTTACACATTTCCGTATTTATATTTGCAAATTTTTTTGCTACAACATTTATTGCTGTAACAAATTGTACCAGTTTGAGCATTTCTAATCGACACTTTCAATTACTAATCTAAAATGAACTGAATTTACCAGCAAATAAATAGCAAATCAATTGAGTTCCAGGTTTAAAAGTGTTCAAGTCACAATTTTATTGGCTTCAAGTCTGAACAAGTCTTGTATTCTTGAGCTGTGAAGAGTCAGTTAAGGTTCACTCTCAGGAGTGAAATAAAAACATATTGGTAAAATTTAAATACAGATGAATAACTTTGATTCCAATGTTTTCCTTTTGCTTTTGTTTCAACAGTTTTCTTTGCTTTCACTGCAACTCGAATCAACAAAATATCCAAAATTGGTAAATTGGCTCGTGAAAATGTCGCTATCAGACGTAAAACGTTCATCATTTATACAAAATTATTCCTGATTATGGGTTTAACATGGATATTTGGCTTTGTCGCAGCTTATGCTAACAATTCATTCCTTTGGTCACTTTTCATTGTCTTTAACAGTCTCCAAGGGTTTTACATATTGATCGCATTTACTGACTTTAAATGGGCCAATCTTCGTAATTTAATTTCATGTCCATTGCAACGAGTAGCCACATCAAGTTCATCAATAGCTACTGCAACAACCATTTCAACTGAACAATAAAGTAAACTGATGATGAAAAACATAACATTAATAAATAAAAACCAATAAAAAAAATTAACAAACATAACCATCATACAACCATCTTGATCATTGTCAAATGTGGGTTGACAAATAATTGGAGAGGTGACCATTGAAGGTTATATAAAAATCATTGACTTGGCAAGAAATTGTATTTTATAGATGATTATTATTTGAATTAATTTTCGTTTACAGTTTGGTTAGATACAGATCACAAAATTGACCCTAAAAACACCATCATATTGTTCATTATGTCCAGGTCCCATGATACGTCTAAAGCTTTGATCATCAGGATCATCGTCATAGTCTTGCTTGTTCACGTCCAAAGTTGATACCGGAGGTGTATTGGACAATGGACAGAATAGAGTAGTTATGGATGGCCCAAACAACTCAAGAGCATGGTCAATTAAATAGGCGATCAAATTTGGAACTAATTTAGAAATTACCTAAGAAATAAAGGGGTAAGAAAAAATACAAAGTCAGATGACAAGTTTTACTTTGATGAGAGATTGACAATGGACATACCTCACATCGTTTTACGGAGACTTGACTATCATCGGTTAATAGACTGGGTGCTATGCAAACAGCTAAATTATTGGAGCTCATCATATTTTCATCAGATTGTTGAGCAATATGCCATAAAACACTGATAAAGTATTTTAACAAAATTAAATTGGCAGGCTTCAATTTATCCAACAACTGTTTGATTCTTTTACTTTTTTCCATTTCGGTGGCACTATTTGTAATGACAGCCATCCAATCGTCGAGATACTTTTTCTCTAACAAACCATCCGGAAGACAACGAATGAGTTCCTTAAAGACGGAAGCAATGGCAGTAACCGGGTAATCATCTAAATCCATCTCGGGATTTTCTTCCAGTTTCATTTTAAGCTCACGACAAATCCGTGTGTTGGCCGATTTACGGAAAATGCCCACAGTGGAAGGTCCTTTAATGTAAAGTTGTTTAAGAAGATTAATTAACGGTGGAATCAGGGTGATTTGATCTTTACACAATACACTCATCTCGGGACCACACAGTTTTCTCAGTGAAATCTCTGAAGTCGATAAGGATGAATAATACGAAGAGGTTGGTGATGAAGATGAAGAGGAAGACGTTGAAGATGATGATGAGGAAGAAGAGGATGAAGATGAAGTAGAGGACGGAGATAGAGATGAAGATGAAATATTACAATTGGATGCCAGACTTATCGGGCTTGTTGAACCATCAACGGTTGTATAAATGCACTTGGTACTAGAACTTTTCCGAAAAGGCCAGTTTATTGTTTTACGCCGACTTTTTTTCACAATTTTTGGTGAATCAATATTGTTAACTATGCTATTATTATTGTGAAAATTATTATTATTAAGGTTGTTGTTGTTGTTGTGGTTAATATTAAACTTGATGATATTGATGGAGTTGTTGTTCTTGTAATTACAATTGATGATGTTATGTGCACATTTGTACATTTTCCTTCGCAACAGAAACGAGTAACTTTCTTTCAAAATATTCCTACTTTCTTCCTTCCATTGGCAGAGATCCATGTGGTCCGGGCTTTGTGGGTTTGATGATGAACACATTTGACCAAGATATTTGTCATACTGTGACATGCGATCCAACTATAGTATCAAAGGTAAAACAAAACCAAGTTTATTAATACCCAAATGAAAAACAAAAGGAAGCGGAAGGTATAATGAGAGTAACATTTTTGTTTGCCTTCTCTAAACTCAGTTTAAAAACTAAAAGCGAAATGTTGAAACAGGGCAAAGAAAACAAGCGAGAGAGAAAGAGAAGATAAAGAAAGAGAAGAAGACAAGAGAAAGAGAAGATAAAGAAAGAGAAGAGAAGAGAAAGAGAAAGGAAAAAGCAGGAACTTTCAAAAAAATTGAAAAAAGGTTGACTTAAGATATTCAAAAATCAACTCAAATCTCATCTCTCGAACTCTCTTTACCTACTCACTCTCCTTTCCATCTTTCTCCCTTTTCCTTTCTCACTTTTGCTCCTAACCTTTTTTCCAGTTTAACCTCAACTTCCTATAGGAGGCAGTACATTGTTGGCGCTTCAGGGATTTAAGGGAGGGAAATACGAAAAGTTAACAAAACTGGCGAAAAGTTAAATTTTCAAATTTTTAAGGTGAACAAAAATAATTATATCAGTAAATAAGTGCACAACAGTGATTGAGTGAAGGTCATTCTGGTCAAAACGTTACCTGCAAAACCTGGCAATCGTCATCATCATCATCTTCTCTCTCTCTTTCTCTCTCTATTCTTGTTGTTCACCTTTTCATTGCTACTCTCGTACCTTTGCAAAAAAAATGAGGATGGTATTTGTTACCATAGCCCGAGGGTTAAAACAGGCTTTTATATATTTACCAAGGTAAAAAGATAAAGATGAAGATGATTATGAAGCTCAGCACACACACAGCTAAAGAACAGTCAGAAAATCTTTGCACGAGCTAGAGCAAATATTATATTCAATAACATTGCTTCTTGCAAGTTGCAACCGGTTAAACCAGTTCAAGCCATATTATCATATGGCTATTATTGCTATTATTATCAAATTTTGTTGGCAAAATACCATTGAGTAAAGGAGCAAACATTTCACTAACCAATGGTCAAATTGTTAGACTTGTTATATCCTCGAAGTATACAAAAAAGTTGTTTTAACATCACGAAGCGTTTCAAAATACAGGACCAGTGGTTAGAACTGGTGCGATAAGAATGCTAATCTTTGATACATCTAGCACCTAAAAAGGTAGCAAGGGGTAGACGGCGCCGTTAAAGCTGACGACTGGCCGGGCCGGGTAAACATTTGCACAACCTAAGTGAAACCTCAACCAGTTTTATCTTTCCATTGTTTTTCATTGAAAATGTTAACCATTTTCCCTTAATCATCCATAACCATATCCATGTCAACAATAAGATTACAATAAAAAACTAAACAAACAATGTTAGCAACTTAATACTGGATACACTGGTAGACCCACTTAATGCAACAAATTGGTCAATTTTTATCGTAGTCGCCATCTAGTCTCTGAAGCTATCTTCAAGGTCGAGCGAGGTGGTGTAAACATCCGGATGATTTGGGTTCGAGGCTCCTTAACCTCATCACTTGAAGTTATCCCTATCTGGGTCATGTACTCAGACCACTAGTCTAGAGCTAGTGGGCTACAGAAGTCTACTGTAGCGGGCATCCGAAAAACATGGTCTCTTCTCACACTGATTAATAAAATCGAGAATTATTGCATATTAATGTCTCAAAACAATAAAATACCAAGGATGGCGACACTGAAAAATTGCGTTAAGTGAGACCCTAATTGCGTTAAGTCAAGCTACCAGTGTAGTCCAAATGAAGGTTACAGGGTTCCTAACCATAACACGAGAAAATGGGCTTAATGGAGACCATCTTTTTTCCACCGGATTGTCCACCAAATTAACCACATCCAACATCATTACTTTTTAAAGAGACTTTTCTCAACAAAATTGTCCACCACTTTTAGAGTGGCTTTTACCACCACATTTTCAGACAATTCATTTGTAAGCTTGTCCACCACCCAGAATCACAAAATTGTTCACCACTTTTCGGATATGATGGGATTAATAGTTGATGTATTAGATTCGTGTGGTAGACAATATGGTGGAAAATCCGGTGGAAAAAGTGGCGGAAAAAGTAGTGGATGTGGTGAAAAAAAGCCGGTTTAATGTGCAAGTGGAATGATTTTTCCCTTAACACGAACTTTCTTTTCACCCCGTATAATTGGGTTCGAGCAAACAGTATAAAACTTTGCTTGAAAAACAAATGAAATTGAAAAATGTCAATCAAATTAATCAATTTGGTAAAATTGCTCATTTAGTCAATAAGCAAACTCGAATTGGTTGATTGTGAAAAGGTTAAACCTTTAACGGTTAATTTTTCATTCCAATATTTTTAGTGTCATTTAATTGTCGTAAATCAATTGATCCGTGAAACCGATCCATCGATCCACAAAACCAATTGTCATGGTTCCGTCGATATTAAGAAGAAAATATTTTTTGCATTTCTTTCGTGAGAACAATTAACATGTAATTGAACAACATTCGAGAAGCAGATTGAACAAGCTAAATGTGAACAAAAGCAAGATGAAAACACACACAAGTTTGCCTAAAATTTTGTGCCATTTTGAGGCCTTTTTGTGCATTGAAAAATGATAATGAAACAAGTGGAAATAAAGGCCAAAAATTAAGATCACTGTGAAGATGATATTAGGTCAAGTACGGTAAGACACAATAAAAGTTGGGTTAGCACGGGAATGTTATGCACCAATGAAATCGAAATTCAACTTTTTCCTTTTGCTCTTTCCTCATCTTCATCATCATTATGCTTTTTTGTTTTCATCTTTCATTTTTTTCCTTCTGTTTTTATCGTTTCATCCTTTTCAGCCTGAAATCCATTGAAATCACATTCTGATATCTTTACTTTCAGCACACATTTTAACATCAAATTTCGTATTTTCGCTTCTTTTGTGTAAATTTTTTGCTCGTTTCACCATTTGGTTCAGCTTTCAGATTGTCATCCTTCTGAACATTCTGTCAACATGATCTATATATACATCTTTTTCATGCTCACCATCTTGCTTATCATTAGCAATGATTGTTTAGTTGAAAAGATTGAGTGAAAAAATGATTCTTATTCATTCTCACGGGATTTCAGTTTCTGGAGCCTTGAACATTGTTGTGAAAAAGGCAGAAAATCAATGAATTTTTGCGTTAACTATTGATATTTAGGTTAATTGAATGTAAGTTGATTTCATATTTAAATATCGAGTAAATGTCAAAGAGATTGGGTAAAGATCGTAGTTTGAAAGATACTTGAAATTGGCGAAATCATCAATTTTTTGCTTCTTTTTATCGCTATTTTGTTCAAATGAAAACTTTCAAGTTTACCAAATCTTGCAACTCTAACAGTTGATTCAATTTCAATAAATACCTTTTTCATGTTTCATTTTTTGATATTTAACTGCTGGTTCAGGTTGAGAATGAGATAAGTTAATGGATGTACCATTGAGTAACTAAAGTTCAATATGAATCTTTGGTGCTATTTTGCATTATTATCGTGATAAGAAACACTGACTAAACCTTAAACTCAGCAGGATTGTGATAAAAATGATTACAGTTGAATTAAACATCTCATTTTACTTGAAATTAAGATTGAACTTTAAAACGCAAATTAATAAACAGTTTGGCCTCAACTTGTAGCATCGGTAAATATTGAAAGATAAATACTTTTCCGATAAAAGATGCCTTCAACCAGCCTTTTAGTCCAATCAACGGATATCCTCATTGAAACTTGATATGCTTGGAAATGTTTGATAAATGGTTCAATAAATGATCAACAAGTGGACAAAATTTAACTGTTTATTTGACCGTTTTGACGGTTAAAACAAATGTTTGATAGTCAATGGTCAGTGTCTATGCAAGAGCAAACAAAAAGGTTTTAAATCTACTTCTCTTGAATCTGTTATTTACTGTTTCTGGTCAACTGTTCAATTACAGCTTGATTAATTAACGTTTACAGAGCAATGGTGCAATTAACTGCCACTTTATCAAAGTGAATCAAACAGCTCAAGGCATTGATCAATGGCTATAGTTAAATGATTAAGTTCGATAACTTGATTTTGTTTTTCACTTCGATCAAAAATAAAGTTCATTTTGTATACTAATACAGTAGATACGCTCGATTAGATATTGACTTATTATTATTAATATCATGTTTTGTTCAACAATCAGTTTGATTTATTAATGACAATGAGAGGTTCCCAAGTCTACCAAAATTTGAGTAATTATTGGTGAAAATGAAATGAAATGTAATATTAGTTGCAAACCTAAATTGATTGGAAAATGAATCTTCAATGATTCAAAATTGGATATGTCCAGCAAAGAGATTAACATATTTAAATCTGTTTGATTAATTTATGAGAAGTTCTTTATGATGAATTTACTCTATCAAGGTGAAAAATCGCTTTGAAAACGATCGCTATCTCGATAAGTCACATGACTATCAGCTGCTATTTATGGTCAATTTTTTCCCTTTACTAATGTCTTTGTGACAACATTTTGCTATTAAAGATTTGATTATATTATTTGTTTAATTTGCGTTTCTGAGGACCTCAATATCGCTAGTAATGTTCACTCACAAATCAATTAGGTAAGCGGACATGTCTGAATGTTAGAGCTTTCATCAACTGGTTTTTTTTCTTTAGGTATTGAGGACATGACGATGATTTTTTGCTTAATTAGACGTATCCACTCATTTCTCCTTTCAAGATGCTCATTTCTCGGTCTATGTTCATTATAAATTGTATCAGCTTATTTTTTAAATCTAATTGTCTTTAACTAAGAACTTATAACTAAAATGAATACGCCAATCAGCTAGATACGTCTGGATATTAAATATCAGAATGATAAATACCTAAGCAAAATCAATTCTAGACCATCATGAAAATACATAGTGCTGACATCGGGCACAAATTCATTTATTCTTTCATCAAGGAAAAGGTTTCATTTTTCACCATTTTTACACACTAAATGTTTTATACTCATTTACACGGGTTTTAGTAGACTTGGGTATGTTGCCAGAAATG